TGGTGTCCGTAAGAAACGCCAAGAGGCAGCCGTAAAGCCAGATACCATAGCATCACATATAGTAAAAACATCCAGAGCACTAAAGGATAAAGAACACACCATCTACGTAAAGAGAGAACTTAAAACTTTAAAACATGTAGCCACGGAAACGGAGCATTGCCTCCCCTTCACCAGCGAAGACATATCAGAGGCTCTAAAAGATGTTGAAGCCAGCAAAAGCACCAGGATTTGATAATATTCACCCTGAATTTCTACTAAATTGTGGCAAGTATACAAAAGTTTGGTTGGCTCGATTTATCACAGACATCATGGAAACTGGAAATATCCCACAAGAACTAAAGCGCTCTAAGATAATACCCATACCAAAGCCAGGCAAACCCGCTGACAACCCAAAAAACTATAGACCAATTGCGCTTCTCTCTGCCATCTACAAACTATTAGAGAGGCTTATATATAATAGAATCAGTACAGAACTGTTCCAGGTGATCCCAGTCGAACAAGCGGGTTTTCGACCAGAACGAAGCTGCGCGGACCAGGTCATGTCACTCACCACCTACATCGAAGCGGGTTTCCAAAGAAGACTTAAAACTTCAGCGGCATTTATTGATCTCTCGGCAGCCTACGATACAGTATGGAGAGAGGGCCTTATATACAAAATTCTCCGTGCAATTCCCTGTAAACAAATAGCACGTTTAATAGATAGCATGCTCAACGACCGAATGTTTCAAGTAGTGATGGGCACAGATATCAGCCCACCAAAGAAACTTAAGAATGGCCTACCACAGGGGTCAGTGCTCTCTCCATTACTATTTAGCTTATATTTAGCAGATATGCCAGAAACACAATCAAGAAAGTTGGGATACGCCGATGACTGGGCCCTCACTACACGATGCAGAACACTAGAAACATCTGAAGAAGTTCTGACGGCAGACTTATATATATTGAGCAAATATTTTCGCAAGTGGCGGCTTCAACCAAATGCATCCAAAACAGAAGTAAGTTGCTTTCACCTGAACAATAAACTTGCTGGAAAGGAACTCAACATACAGTTTGAAAATACCACACTATCTCATAACAAAATACCGAAGTACCTGGGCGTAACACTAGACAGAACTCTATCATTTAAAGAGCATTTAACAAAAACTGCCCAAAAGTTGAGTACAAGAAATAACATTATACAGAAGCTCTGCGGTACCACCTGGGGAGCATCGGCTTCCACTCTCCGCTCTACTGCTTTAGCCCTTGTTTTCTCGACCGCTGAATATTGTGCCCCAGTTTGGCTACACAGTCCACACGTAAAAAAGGTCGACACTCAGCTGCAAGCACTATGAGGATGATAGCTGGTACAATTAAATCAACTCCCACCCAATGGCTTCCAGTATTAAGTCACATTCCACCTCCACATTTACGACGAGTTGATGCACTTACACGTGAATACAAAAAGATCATGAACAATATAAACGTGCCGATCCACCAAGATACCGAGGATGCACGAAATACCCGTCTACGTTCTAGAAAACCACCAATGAAAACGGCAAGAATGATACATGAGGAGTTCCACATCACGAATGCATGGTCCCAAGAATGGAATGCATGGCAAAATAACATGCCCTGTATTACCCACAAGCCACCAGGTTTTGATCTCCTACGTAAAACATGGTCCACTCTAAACAGTATCCGAACCAGACATGGCAGATGTGCATACATGCTACATAAATGGGGAAAGAATCCGTCTCCCCAATGTGACTCTGGGAAGGACCAAACGATCGACCACATTATTGAAGAGTGTCCCTCAAGATCCTATAACGGTAGCCCTGAAGACTTCCTGTTTGCAACTTCAGAGTCAATTGATTATGTTAATACACTTGATGTTTGTTTGTAATTATTTAAAGTTTGTCATATACCTGTATTACTAGTGTTTGTAATTTTGTTCTTAATGTGTTGTAATTGCCATACGATAAATAAATAAATAAATAAGAGAAGAATACATAAGATTTTCTTTTACATAAATTGCAACTCCGCCTTGTTTCTTTAGGAATACTTGGAGTATAACTTAAAGAAGAAAAATACATTGTAAGAAATTGAATACTTGTAATTTGTGTTTGTGCCCCCTGCTAATAACTCTTAGTAGTTGATGCAGGGTCATTTTTGATTAAATAAAAAAAAATTACATGTTTATTGAGATTTTTTTTGCAAAATGGTAAAAATTGATGGTCATAAGTAAATGTTAACGTTTACTTTTCAAACAACAGAAAAAAATTGTCTTTATCCCTTCACCAAAGGTTGTTGGTAAAAAAAATATTTTCAAATCGAATTGTATACGTTTTCCGGTATAACTTACAATAAGTTAATGGAATAGTCATCTGCAGAAAGAGCGTCGTCCGAATAAAACGGAGCCCATTTGCTGTACCGCAAAATTCAAATGCGCGCTTAAACTGAATTTATCTTCGAGTTTATGGCAGCTACAAGAAAAATCGACTTGCCTATGAATAAAACAAAACGATTTTTAGAGTCTGAAGCGTCTCATGTCTCGGAATTATTCAATACTCTCAAAGATATGGAACTGGAAGTCACGTGTTACCTCTATACGTGTGCCTCACGAAGAGGAGATGTAAGAATATTTAAACGCATATAATATTGAAAGAAAGGTATAACGTAAGTGACATCGGGCTAAAGTAGAATGGCACTATATACATTTATAGCGAGTGACATTTCATTTAAATATTAAAGTCATCGACTTGAGAATATGCTCCGTTTTCTGTTCCTTGCTTTTTGCCTGCGACAGTTACAAAGTTCTAAAGCTATTGACGTTTTTGTTTGGAAATATAAAGTTAAATATTTTAAATGTCATAAACAGAATTGAAGCAGCTTAATCAATATTTTTTACAGTCAAATATCAAAAAAATACATAAAATTTATCACAACTACTATATACAAATATACAAATAAAAATCTGATTTCCCCTATTAAAGAGCACATCTACATTATATATTTATACAGCTTTAATTTATGCCAATACTTAAAATACAAGATCCTAACTTAAAAATGGGTCAAATAGAACTTTCTTTACAGATGTCCGCAAACCTTCCAGAAGTCAGTGATAAGTAACAAAGGCTTAAATAATAGGTGACATCGTGGAATATTTATATTCTATAAATACAATATTCGGGATTACCTGAGGTATTATTACGATTAATATTACTGTTTAATTTGTATTCGAAGTCTATATTCATTAGACCAGGTCCAAGGCGGAATTAAGATTAACGAAATCAACACAAACAACATCAGATATGCTGATGATACTGTCTTAATATCAAGCAACGCACAAGAACTACAAAATATAATAAATGCCGTAGTTCACCATAGCGAAATGTTCGGTTTACATCTAAACGTTTTCAAAATTAAGACTTTAGTATTTTCAAAGACATCAAAAAACGTACATGTGTATGCCAAGGGTCAAATGATAGAACAGGTAAATTCCATAAAATATTTGGGAGCAAATATCAATAGTCAGTGTAATCCAAAAAAACAAATCCTATCAAGAATCAAACAAGCAAGAAAAACATTCATGAGAATGAAAACAATTTTTACAATATCAGACCTTAGTCTGCACCTAAGAATCCGAATCATTAAATGTTACGTTTTTTCTGTCTTACTCTATGACTGTGAAATTTGGTTAATGTATATATATACATGTGGATGTGAGACTGAATACAATAAAGAAAAAGTCTAGACCTAACTACGACATGACATCCCTGCAACATCCGGAAATTAAAAAGTAAGTGGGGGAATATATTAACAACCAAGTTAAACAACTAAAAGAAGAAAATACCATCCAACGAGAAATCAATCAATTCGAAGAAATATTTAAGAAAACTAAACAAGATCTGCTAAAACCAAACAAAGAAACAAAGATGAAATCTTGGATGACTCCAGAAAGCCTTCATTTAATAGAACGCAGAAGGTTAATTAAGGGAAATAAAGATGAGTATAAAAAAATGCAGGCTTACATCAGAAGAAAAATAAGAAAAGCTAAAAAAAATAAGCTGTAGAGAAATGTAAAGAAATAGAAAGACTACAAGCCAAGCATGACAATTTTAATGTACACAAAAAGGTAAAAAAAATAACGGGTACTTTTAAAAAGCGAACACAAATGAAACTCATAGACACCAATGGAAAATTAATCATTGACACCCAAGAGATGAAAGACAGATGGAGAATATATTTGGAGACAATTTTTCAAGACCAAAGAATGGATTATAGGCATCCATTTTCAGAGAGGATGACGGGCCCGGACATACTTAAATCTAAGCAGCAATAAAAGCAGGAAAGCTGTAGGGCCTGATAATATCGAAGCTGAATTTTTAAAACTCTTGGAGGAAGCAGGAATAATTTGGATCACGGCTGTCTTCAATAAAATATATAATATAGGGATCATCCCTGATAAATGGCTAGAATCAGAATTCATAGCGATACCTAAAAAACAGGGGCTAAAAAGTGCGAAGAATATCGAACAATCAGCCTAATGAGCCACATGTTGAAACTGTTTCTTAGAGTCATCCATGGAAGAACAGGACAGACAGTTCGGCTTCATTAAAGCAGTGGATACCAGAGAGGCACTTTTCGGAGTACAGGTACTGATACAAAGATACAGGGACGTTAACTACGACGTATACGCGTGCTTGATCGACTAAGAAAAGGTATTTGACAGAGTTCAACATCAAAACATGACAAACATTTTAAAAGAGGCAGACCTGGATGACAAAGACCTCAGAATAATTTCAGAACTCTACTGGAATCAAACCGCATACATGAAAATTAACGGAGAAGAAACAAATCACATAAAAATACTACGTGGAGTTAGACAGGGATGTATCCTATCGCCGTTGATATTTAATATGTACTCAGAGAAAATTTTTAACGAGGCTCTTTACGGAATAGACGAAGTAATCTTTCTAAATGGTGAAAGAGTAAACAATGTTAGATATGCCGACGACACCATAGTGATAGCAGATAGTTTAGAGGGACTTCAGAGGCTAATGGACAGAATAAACGAGTACAGTCAACAGTACGGACTAAACATTATACCCACAAAACGAAACAAATGATTATCAGCAAGGAGAATATAAATAAGGCTCATCTATACATTAATGGAACGCAGCTAGAGCGAGTAAAACAGTATTGTTACCTGGGAACTATTATTAACGAACAGTGGAGCAATTTACAGGAAATAATGTGCCGCATAGGAAAGGCAAGAACGGTCTTTAACAAAATGAGCGCCATCTTCAAAAGTCACAACATATCCCTTTATACAAAAATGAGACATTTGAGATGCTGTGTTTTCTCTGTGTTGTTGTACGGGGCGGAGACATGGACGCTTACAGACATCACTATTAAAAAACTTGAAGCATTTGAGGTGTGGCTTTATAGAAGAATGCTAAGAATATCATGGACAGCTAGGATCACGAACAAGGAAGTTCTAGAAAAAATTAAGAAGGAACCAGAGATTGTGTTTACGATCAAACGCATAAAATTGCAATATCTGGGACACGTTATGAGAAATCAGCACCGTTACTCCCCGCTACAGTCTATATTGCAAGGTAAAGTCAAAGGTAAGCAAGGACCCGGCAGAAGGAGAATATCATGGCTGCGGAATTTAAGAACATGGTTTAAAATAACCTCAACGGAGCTGTTTCGAGCCGCAGCAAGCAAGGTTATGATTGCCAATATGATTTCCAACATCCGAAACGGATAGGAACCAGAAGAAGAAGATATATATATATATACAGACGAATGTTGAGAATTCCATGGGTACAAACAGTTACTAATGTTAAGGTACTTCGTCTAATGTGTAAACAAAAAGAATTACTAAGAATAATCAAAGAGAGGAAAATGCAATACTTGGGTCATGTGTTGAGAGGCGAAAAATATGAATTACTTTAAGTTATACTGGAAGGAAAAGTACAGGGCAAAAGATCAACAGTAAGACGCCAGAACTCATTGCTGAAAGACCTGAGGAGAAGGTTCGACAGCTCATTAACAGAAATCTTTTGCGCAACAGTTTCTAAAACCACAATTGCCATTTGGATCGCCAACCTTCGAAAGGAGACGGCGCCATGAGAAGAAGGGGTATTATCCTTAAAACTTTAAGTGAACTTGAATTATTTTGACACTGCTTATGTTGAATAAAGTTGAATTAGTTTGAATTTTCACTTATAACCACACTTAAATAATTCTAATAATACGAGGTAACTTAAAACTTAAAAAAGGTCTATCTTTTTTGAACATTCCTTGCATATATCCTTTATGTTTTCTAGGCACATTAATTTATTACACAAGTAACAACTGTACCTTGTTTGTTGACTTTTCTGGCTTCCACAGTAAAAACAACGACAACATTCAAGCTGATATCAAACATTTCTCTTTTGTATCCATTTTCTGTAAAATAGAGAAGTTCCCCTCAAGATTACTAAAACTATCGAAAAACATCTACCAAAACAACAAAATGAAAGTCAGAATAGGACACTTACAATACCTACAGAAATAGACAGTGGAATAAGACACAAGGGGATTAATTGATCCACATACTCTTCAATTTGATCATGGACGGAATCATCAAAACCGTTAACAAAGAAAGAGGATACATATTGGGAAACAAAGAAATCAAAATACTCTGTTACACAGAAGATGCAATATTAATAGTCCAAGATAAAGATAGTCTGCAAAGACTGGTCCACAAATTTAACATAGGAGCAAAATAATTTAATATGACCATCTTATCTCAGAAAACTAAAACAAAAGTCGTCAGCAAATAACCAACCATATGTAAACTAGAATATCAGTACTGAACAAGTAATGAAAATAAAATATCTGGGAATTACATTTTCTAGCTATGGAGACCTGGACAAAGAAGTGAGAGATCAAGTACAAAAAGCAAATAGACTGGCAGGATGCCCTAATAACACTATATGGCGAAACAGGCACATTAACACTGAGATAAAATCAAGAATTTATAAGGTCTAACTGGTAAGCTGGTTTTGTATGTTTTCAATAAAATTGATAGTGTGTAAAATAGTTTAATAATTAAGCTAAGTATACTTTCGACATAATAAATGTCATCATCAGAGCTATCCTAAAATAACGTTAAGTTAAGTAAATTTTTTATATAAAATACAATGATAGAAAAAACTTACGTCAAATAGGTAATAAATACTTCATAGAAGGACAATTGTGCACAAACGACATATTAAAATTCAAAAGATCGGGCTCTGTAGGCCACAGATCTTGGGTCTAACCCTTATACATATGTATAATTCACATTTAAAAAGTTTTTATAAAAACATGGTTACCACATACAGTAACGACAACAGCTGTCTTTGACTTACATTTTTGAAGTAAAATGAAAATGAAATAGGAAGCTCGGATATACGGAAATAAATCCTAGAGCGACCTCTGTATTTAAATTATTAATTAAAAATTGAAAATGTCTAAAATGACGTCTGAAGGTTATTGATTATTAATTTTAGCTACTGTAGAATTTTAAATTTAAATATTTTAAATTGATTAGTTAACGTGAAGATTTAAATATACATTTATCAAAATTATCAAAAAACAAAACTTTAAAGTTTGACCAAATAGAAGAAAGTAGATGAAAACCAACCAAGGAGAAGTATCATTTGCTAAGTTAAGAGTTCAACAGCTATTCTTGATTATCGATATTATTATTAAAATAAATTATGAAGAAGAAAATATCAAACAATCTCTATGTAGATGAAATCAATGAAAGAAAGTATAAGAAATTCTCTCTTTTTTAAAATCTCTTTTTTAAAAATAAAGGTCAATGCTTGATCAAATGATGGTTAATTTTATACTAAGTGTATTATTAAAGAAACTTCTTAAAGATTGGATCAAACTTACAATTTAAATTAATTTGAGTGTTGACACAATTCTGAGGATTCCTTTTCATTTCTCTACTGATTTCAAGATCTTCTAGTAAATTCATTTTAATATAATTATTATTGGGTATACTGTGTAGGATCTTGCTATCTCTATGAGGACTAAAGCCATGCTTTGAAGCATGTATATGATTCCCAAAACTAGATTTATCAATCTTAGACAGATGTTCTTTGATGCGTATATCCAAAGGTCGCATTGTTCTACCCACATAGGTCACCGGGCATTCACCACAGGATAATTTATAAATACCACTTTTTGACGATTTGTTAATTTTGTCTTTAGTGTGGGAAAAAATAGATTTGATATTTTCTTTAACTTTGAAAGAAAGTTTTAGATTAGGGATGTTTTTTAAGATTCTAGCTATATTGTCTGAGGGATAACCTAAGTACGATATTGATCGATAAATAACTGTCGAGTTAGAAATGTTATGGACAGTGTTGTATGCTAGTGATCTATTCCTTTTATTCTTTAATTTGTTGAGTATGTTATCAACCAAAGTAGGGGTGTAACCATTACTATAAGCAAGTTGTTTAATAATTTCTAATTCTGAATTAAAATTTGAATCTGACAGAGGTAAGCTAAGTAAACGATGGATATAACAATAAAAGGAGGCCATTTTCTGTTGAAAAGGATGATTAGAAGATCTAGGGATGGTATGGTCAGTCTGAGTTGGTTTTCTGAATACTGAAAAATTTAATTTATTATCTATTTTAGTTAATGTTAAATCTAGAAAATTAATAGAATTGTTGGATTCTGTTTCTAAGGTGAATTTTCACCTTAGAAACAGAATCCAACAATTCTATTAATTTTCTAGATTTAACATTAACTAAAATAGATAATAAATTAAATTTTTCAGTATTCAGAAAACCAACTCAGACTGACCATACCATCCCTAGATCTTCTAATCATCCTTTTCAACAGAAAATGGCCTCCTTTTATTGTTATATCCATCGTTTACTTAGCTTACCTCTGTCAGATTCAAATTTTAATTCAGAATTAGAAATTATTAAACAACTTGCTTATAGTAATGGTTACACCCCTACTTTGGTTGATAACATACTCAACAAATTAAAGAATAAAAGGAATAGATCACTAGCATACAACACTGTCCATAACATTTCTAACTCGACAGTTATTTATCGATCAATATCGTACTTAGGTTATCCCTCAGACAATATAGCTAGAATCTTAAAAAACATCCCTAATCTAAAACTTTCTTTCAAAGTTAAAGAAAATATCAAATCTATTTTTTCCCACACTAAAGACAAAATTAACAAATCGTCAAAAAGTGGTATTTATAAATTATCCTGTGGTGAATGCCCGGTGACCTATGTGGGTAGAACAATGCGACCTTTGGATATACGCATCAAAGAACATCTGTCTAAGATTGATAAATCTAGTTTTGGGAATCATATACATGCTTCAAAGCATGGCTTTAGTCCTCATAGAGATAGCAAGATCCTACACAGTATACCCAATAATAATTATATTAAAATGAATTTACTAGAAGATCTTGAAATCAGTAGAGAAATGAAAAGGAATCCTCAGAATTGTGTCAACACTCAAATTAATTTAAATTGTAAGTTTGATCCAATCTTTAAGAAGTTTCTTTAATAATACACTTAGTATAAAATTAACCATCATTTGATCAAGCATTGACCTTTATTTTTAAAAAAGAGATTTTAAAAAAGAGAGAATTTCTTATACTTTCTTTCATTGATTTCATCTACATAGAGATTGTTTGATATTTTCTTCTTCATTATTTATTTTAATAATAATATCGATAATCAAGAATAGCTGTTGAACTCTTAACTTAGCAAATGATACTTCTCCTTGGTTGGTTTTCATCTACTTTCTTCTATTTGGTCAAACTTTAAAGTTTTGTTTTTTGATAATTTTGATAAATGTATATTTAAATCTTCACGTTAACTAATCAATTTAAAATATTTAAATTTAAAATTCTACAGTAGCTAAAATTAATAATCAATAACCTTCAGACGTCATTTTAGACATTTTCAATTTTTAATTAATAATTTAAATACAGAGGTCGCTCTAGGATTTATTTCCGTATATCCGAGCTTCCTATTTCATTTTCATTTTACTTCAAAAATGTAAGTCAAAGACAGCTGTTGTCGTTACTGTATGTGGTAACCATGTTTTTATAAAAACTTTTTAAATGTGAATTATACATATGTATAAGGGTTAGACCCAAGATCTGTGGCCTACAGAGCCCGATCTTTTGAATTTTAATATGTCGTTTGTGCACAATTGTCCTTCTATGAAGTATTTATTACCTATTTGACGTAAGTTTTTTCTATCATTGTATTTTATATAAAAAATTTACTTAACTTAACGTTATTTTAGGATAGCTCTGATGATGACATTTATTATGTCGAAAGTATACTTAGCTTAATTATTAAACTATTTTACACACTATCAATTTTATTGAAAACATACAAAACCAGCTTACCAGTTAGACCTATTTAGAAGTGTGTACAAGTCTTACAGTCTTTTTCAAGAATTTATA